CAAGTATAAGAAAACATTTTTAAAGGCATTATTTAGAAATCAGGGCTAGCCATTTTCATTTTAAGAAGCTACCTCTTAGCTATTTGAATCAGTGCACTATTTTAGCTTGGTTGTGGTCAGTGTAATCCTAACTGTAGGACTTCATTTCCATTTGAGATTTATAAAGGAAGGGCAGACACATTCCACAAACAGCCATGCTTTTCTCAGGAGGCGGGTAGTAGCGACAGCAGTTAAGTTTCCATAAGTCGCTCCTATGTTCCAGGCGATAGATAAAGAATTTTCCATCATTATTTCATGTGAAGACAGTTACTGTTTTACATTTTACAGGCGAGGAAACTGACAACTCAAAGAAGATGCCTAACTTTCCACAGGCCCTGTGGCACGTGGCAGAACTGGGGTGCTCCTGAGACGCAGGCTGGTCTCGCCCCCAGAGGTGATGGGTTTCTCTCACAAAAAGCAGCGGCGAGGGTATTGAAAGATGGTCTTCAAGCTCCTGGGACAGAAGGTGATACATGCAAAATGCAAGGGTAGATTCTCTTCCTTTCCCACTTCACAGAAATTCTCCTGCAGAGCAGCCCTGAGTTTGCAAGCCGCTTCTTCATGGGCCCACGCTCAGCTCAGTTCCTAGGGCGCCTCTCACAGGGTTCCTTCCTCAAGATTACAAAGACTGGGAACCTAGCCCATTACTAATATTTTTAAAAAGTTATTCTGGCTCTTTCAGGGCCATATCAGTTTCAAAGATCGCTGTCAGGGTGGGAGCAACTGGAGCTGACATAGCCTCAGAGCGGAAACTGTTCTTCAGAGCTGAAAAGTCAGTGGAATATTCATAGAAATGTAATATGAGCACAGGATACCGAGTCAGTGTCAAAACTTTGTTCCAAACCATATTTGCTATTTCTAAAGCCGGCCGGCTCCTTGGGGACGGCTGGGCTCAGGGAAGAGGGTGGGGTGGAGCGGGTGGCAGCAAGCCTAGAGCCGGGCTGCGGGGCGGGTCTCCTCTCCCCAAGGGAGGCAGGGGTCTCTCTCCACAGGAATTAGGGTTCTGAGGATGGGAGGGTGACAGGATCGGCCCTCCCCTCTCTAACAGGGCCATCTCTGGCTGACTATGAAAACCTTTCCTTCATGTTGCCACACGGGTTTTGTGCCTGATTTTGAAATAGAAACTATGGTGGAATCAATATGAAAATCACTGTGCAGTGCTTTGCAAGCCCAGAAATGACACCATTTGCTTTTTCCTTGAAAGTCTCCTGCTCAGGATATCGCTAAAAATCCATGGCAGTACAGACCCCGAGGAGTAGCATCTTCAGATGCCAAAATTATGTCTTCAAGGCAACCAAAGGGATCATCTGCAGATGACCTAGATTTCTTTTCAGGAATGAACAAATCTCTCTCATTTCCCCCATGAGGAGCTCGACTCATTTGTAGTTAATCTAAGAATTAACATTTAGCAATGACTGCTTCAGTGCTGTGGGAGAGGTGGGTGCCTGTGGCTCAGCTGATTGGAACCCTGTGACCAGGAGGACTGGTTCACTCCCTGGGTCCCCTCCCACCTCCAGCCAGGCCTCCAGCCAACACTGGTCACAGGCGGCCTTCGCTTCGGGGAGGAGTTTCCTGTGGGAAAACCAACGGGACCCTGGAGTGCCACGCTTCCAAGCTTGCAAATTAAGGGGATGATCACCCAGGAAGAGTAGGAGGCCCACGCTTATCCAAGGGACAGACTCAGAGGGACACTTTGGGGCGGGGGTTGTGTTTTCACTAATCCCTTAGATATGAGATGGATCATTTTGGGCCTGCCAATTACTGTCTGTAGTCTTGTAACCCACGGGACCGACCCATTTCTCCCACAGCCAGGCCACTGCAGCCAATTGTCTCAAGTTGGTCAGAGACACAGTAGCTATGAGCTTCAAGAGCACGCGTGAATCTCACTCTGTGCGTTCTCTCCAGTGTCCACTCTCAGAAACCACTTTTTCAGATCCAGGTCCCTCCCAGGCCAGGTCTCTCCAGAATGACCAGATGCATCAGTGCCCTCTGAGGCCCCTTTTGGGTTCAGGGGAGAGAATGCCCAAGAGCTCCCCTTATGCCCGGTGTGTTCACCGTTCCCCCCTGCCCCCGGCCCTGGCTCTCTACATTCACCAAGAACACCTGCTCCATGGCATAGGCCACCTCTTTTTATCCTTCAATTTTTTTTTTTTTTAAATATATTTTATTGATCCCTCACAGAGAGGAAGGGAGAGGGATAGAGAGCCAGAAACAACGATGAGAGAGAAACATCGATCAGCTGCCTCCTGCACACCCCCCACTGGGGATGCGCCCGCAACCAAGGCACACGCCCCCGACCGGAATCGAACCCGGGACCCTCCAGTCTGCAGGCCGACGCTCCATCCACTGAGCCAAACCAGTTAGGGCTATCCTTCAATTTTAAAAAAAGTTAATTACTGGATCCTTATCACTCAGAAGAATGCTTTGTATATGGTAGGAGTTCACTAAATATTTGTTGGAAGAATGAGTGAGTGGATGAAAGAATCAAATGTAGAACTGATTCCACTGACACAAAGGCAATTTTTCAAATGTTATCATTTTCTTATTTTTCCCTTTACAAAATTATGCATGGTTATTGAAAATAATCTAGAAGATAGAGGTGAGCAGAAATTAAGAAAATAATACCACCCATAATACCATCACTTGGACATAGCCTTTCTTGACATTTGGGGATATGTTATATTTATATTTATATGCATATCTATTATGTATGACTTAGGGACTTAGACAATAAGTATTATTGTGTAATTGTTTTTACTTATATCAGAAAGTTTTGAAATATAGTATGGATTCTTCACATTATTTTAATTTTTTTTCAGAGCATTTTATTGCATGACTTCAACTTAATCAGTCACATATTACAGTGTCCTTGCAGCTGAACTTTCTCCCTAGCTTTGTTGATCTCCTTGGGATAAATTCCTACAAGAGGAACTGCATGCTCCATGGTCTTCTGGTTCACTCCATGTTGGCAAGCTTTCGGTCAGAGCGGTGCCCCCATGCGTGCTCCTACCTGGAACGACCTAATGTACTGCCCCTCTCCTTGCTCAACAGGCCGTATTATCATTCTTTTAAATATTTGTTAATTCATAGGCAAAGAGTATATCAATGTTCTTATGCTTTGTATTTTTTAAAATATGTTTTTTAAAATTGATTTTTAGAGAGAGAGAGAAATGGAGAAGGAAAGAGACAGAAACATTGATTGGCTGCCTCCTGCACACCCCCTACTGGGCATGTGCCCTGCACTGGCATGGAACAGCTGGTCTGTTGGTGCATGGGACGACGCTCAGTCCACTGAGCCACACCGGCTGGGCGCATTCCTTTTATTAACAGTAAAACAGTGATTTTTCATGTGGTGATTTTAATGTTTTCTTTGCAAATTGCCTGTTAATATCTTTTAAGGCCCATATAGTTTGGGGATCAACATACTTCCCCTTTCTATTTCATAGGGCTGTTGTAAGAATTAGGTGAAGTAATCTATTTGTATATGTTTGAAACCTACAAGGCAATACACAGGTGTGTTGAGGTAGTTTGTGACCTGGTAGGGTGAGGGCCAGTAGGAACAGGCACTTGCAGACAGATGGGCTAAGTAAATGCTACCAAGCAAAGGCATAGGTTAGCTTTAAGGAGGAGGGCTGGGGAGAGGCACCTGTAGAGAAAGGGAAATAGGCCTTGCCTGGAGATTTGTTATTTTGAGAAAGTCACTGGAAATAGACAAGGTCAGAAATAATACAGGGGCTGTCAGGCTTGAAATTTGAGCCAATTAGAAGCAAGGAAGCAAGGGGGCAGGAGGAATGGGAAACCAGTCCACCCGGGTGGTCTGTGCTCTTGGGGGGAGGGTGGGGTGCAGGGAGAGGGGAAAAGGCCTCCCTGAAATGTCCCCAAACCAGCAACTGAGAAGAGAAAACAGCAGCAGTGTCACTCCTCAGAGGACTCACTTGAATTCCAGGGTGACTGCACAGATGTGTTTAAGACAGAAAGGGAAGCTGGTGTCCTGACACAGGTGTGGTCCTCGGGCCAGGCTCACCTGTGCTCTCCTGGAAGTCCTGGAGTAACCATACCTGGAAAGGCAAGCAAGATACAGAGATGGGTGGTGATTAAATAAGATAAAATGCTGTCCTAAAATTCCTCACTCATGTAAAATTTTACACAACATAATTTTATATTCATGTGTATTCACATATGATTATAAATGAATACATTATGCATATATTACATTATATCTATAATAATAAAAGCATAATATGCAAATCGACCGAACGGCCGAACAGTGGAACGACCATCTGGATGACCACGCTATGACACCCACTGGCGCCAGGCCAGCCAAGGTGGGTGCAATGCGCTTGGTCAGGGGCCCCGCCATCGCCCCATGATCACCCCGCAGAGGGAGGCCCAGGCCACTGGCCAGCAGGGCGATCAATCAGGGGGCTCCATGATTGCCCCAAAGAGGGAGACCCAGGCTACCCCACGGCGGTGCTGCGGCGGCTGGGCAGGGCCTCCTCTGTGGGGGTGATCCATTGCAGAGCCCCGGCTGGGTGGCCAGGGCCTATTTCTATGGGGCAATCCATCACAAAGTCCCTGCCGGGTGGGCGAGGCATACCTCTTTGGGGCGATCGATCATGCAGCCCCATGCTCGATCGCCCCGCAGAGGGAGGCCCAGGCAACCTGGCCAGCAGCGCTGCGGTGGGTGAGCGGGGCCTCCCTCTGGGGGGCAATTGATCATGGGGCTCCCAGACTGTGAGAGGGCACAGGCCGGGCTGAGGAACACCCCCCCCCCCCCCGTGCATGAATTTCATGCACTGGGCCTCTAGTCTATATATATAAAAGCCTAAGCGACCATTATGACCAAATGACCCGAACAACTGGAGTGACCGCTTGACCAGTCACTATGACACTCACTGACCACCAAGGGGCAGACGCTTAATGCAGGAGCTGTCCCCTGGTGGTCAGTGCACTCCCACAGCTGGAGCGCCACTCAGTCGGAAGTCAGGCTCACAGCTGGCAAGTACAGCTGCGGGGGCAGGAGTCTCTCCAGCCTCTGCAGCAGTGCTACCAAGTGAGCGGTGTCGGGCGGTGACGAGCAGTGGCAGGCATAGCAGGGCTGGGGTGAGCAGGAGTGGCGCAGTGCCTGGCCCAGGCTTGGGCTCCTCTCCATCCGCCTGCCATTTAATGCTACATCCCTTGTACCTCATAAGCCTGCAGTTACAATCTCTGGAGTAACCAGGATGAGCCTGATATCACCACTGGACTCCTGGAACTCTGCCTAGGGCATCGAGATCAAATCTCATCCCTTACCAATTGCCCCAGAGCTACAGAGGAAGGCAGCAATATGACAGTGGCCACAAGGTGGCGACTGACAATGGGGTAAAAGTCAAAGAGAGATGAACCTGAAGGGTGAGGGCGTGGGTAACAGAGCACCCGGGTCCTCCAAGATCCCCAACTTTGCATTGTTCACCTCTGAATGTCTCTTATCTGGCTCCAAGCGGTGCAAAGCGTCCAGCATGGCCCAAGGTGTCCACTGGGGACCTCTTGGCCAGCAAGGTGCGACCCAGGCTGCAGAAGGGACGTTTGGAAATATGTTTTCAGGAAGCTGCAGGGGGAGGACAGACTCTCCACGCGACTTCCCAGGAGCTCAGGGGAGTGGAAACTCCCTGGGCACACGGGCTCCCGATTTCCTTTCAATGTGCATGAATCCGTGCACAGGGTCACTAGTAATTACATAAATAACATGAATACAGGCATGGTAATGAGGTGGGACAGGGACAAAGAATCATCTTTGCTTTTGTTCACATTTTTAAGTGTTGTGCTTGTTACAACTAGTATATGTTACTTCTCTAATTTGAAAATGATCCAATATTTAAGACCAACAACAATGTCCACGTGGTGCGTGTGGCCTGCGCCCCCCAGGCTGCAGCACAGGTGGGATGGCTCAACCGCAGGCGCCGAAGTTCTGGGCTGTCACTGGGGCCCCAGCTCAGACAGAGGCCCCAGGAAGCTTGTGAGAGCCCCTCATGGGCCCACAGGGCACCCGCCATCACCATCCAGGGCACACGTAGGATGGAAGTAGGATGGAAAGCAGTGCCTCCGTGGCGGCAGGACCTGGCAGCAGGCAGGATGTTCACCAGGCCAGGAGTGCGCAGGCCTACCCTCCAGGTCAGGCTCCGCACCTTGTGGGGGTGGGGTGGGAGCGGGGAGGCTGGGCTAATGCCAGAAAGCACTGGAGCTGGGGGTGGGGGCGGGGGGAGGAAAAGTGAGAACTCCTCCTCCGGTTCCAGGGCTGCAGCAGAGCATCTGACTGGGCTTGTGTTCTTTCACAGCAGGTGAAGCTTTAGGCAACGTGGTTTGCGTGTCCTCCTCGTGCCAGGCCTGTGCTGGGCTTGGGGACCAAGGGAGGGGACAGGATGATCCTGACTTTCTGGAGCCCACAGCTGAGCTGCGGCGGGAGCAGGAGCGTCACGGTGATGTGGCAGCAGAGGCAGTGGAAGGAGCCTGCCAGAGGCCCTGTGAGCCAAACCAGGAGTGAAGAGCTGGGGCCATCGGTGAACACCAGGGCCTGGATGGAGACCCCGCGGACTCTAGCTCGGACTTTCCCAGGAGCACGCAGAGCCGTGCGGTGGGGAGCTAGTCCGAGAGGCCAGCAGGCATGGGGCATGCCCGGCCTCAGCGTGGTGCATGTTTAGGAGTTCGCTGTTGCCCTACGTATGGAGGCCAGTACGTGTGCTCAGAAAGCCAACATCAGGCGGCGGAGGCTGAGCCTCAACTCAGCGTGTGTCAGGGTTTGTTGAGTGAGTGCAAAGTCTGTTTTAAAAGGCGATGTTCCATGCTCAGAACACATTTTACTTGATTTTTAAACTCTGGTTTTGACTTCTATCACACAAAATATCCTTCATGTAGTATAATTTTCTCAGAAAGACCGCGTCACAATGATGAGAACACAGTCCCAAGTCTGGCGCTGAGCACCGTGCCTGGAGTCACAGCAAAGGTTAATGAGACGCCCTGCTGCAGGGGTCGCGGGAAGCGCTGTTACACACGGTCACGTCCCACCTTTGGCATCACCCAGCACGCCAGGCTGAGCTGGCGGCACCGGCTGTCTCCCTGCTGCGGATGGCGGAGAAGTGGGAAGACCTGGCGGCCCTGCGAGCAGTCCCAGGAGCAGGGCCTCTGTCCGGTGAGCTGTGAGCCCAGGGCCGACGGTGGCCGCCGTGGCACAGGGAGCCATGTGGCTCCTGGGCCTCAGGGGCTCCTGTTGCCGGCGTGGTGGAATAGGAAGGAGCCCCTGGCCGGAGAAGGAGGCCCTGGCCGGGGTCTGCGCCCCAGGGAGATAGGGAACAGCCCGCGGATCTCACTCTGTGGCCCTGAATCCCACACCTGATGAGGCTCCCAAGTGTTGAGGAGCCTGAGGTGGTCAGTGGAAGGTCCCCCGTTCTCCCCCCATCCCAACAGTTAATGACGTGGAGCTGTGAGGATTTTGCAGGTGTCACCTCTCCGTAGATTAGCATTTGGGTCCTTTGTCAACCTGGATCCCTTACCTGTTTTCCTCCTCTTCCTTGAACTTGCATCCAATGAGCCTGCTGCGGTCACTAGAATCACTTTTGTTGTCTGCGGTTCAGAGAGCCGTGTTAGCATTTGGGACACACACGTGGCATTCAGACTCGCTCGTGTAGATCTGCGTTTCCTCTCAGAATCCCACAGACTGTTCTTGGGGCAAAACCATTCCTTTGCAACTTAATTATCAGCACGTGGAATACAGTATTCCCTGTCTGAGCTGGAATGGAAGGAACCCATCATCTTTGAGTCCTAGCTCTTCAGAAAAATGGCAGCTGCCGCCAGATGTGAACTGGACACTTGAAATTGGCAAACAGCTGGGAGTTAGTGTGAGGGAGAGAAACAGACATGGGCTTGGGGCTGCGTACAGGTGGGTTCCGGATCAGCTCTGCACTTACTGATGTGGGACTTCGGAATAGACACTTTTCATGATCACTCTGAGACCTGTTTCTCCATCTTTAAAATGGGGTGGTGCAGAAGCAAGCTCATGGAGTGTTGGTGACGATTCACAGAGGGGAACTGAAATGTCCGGCACACGAGGGACACACAAGAAACATTAGTTTCTATGACCCTCTACAGTCAATAAGCTAATGAATCCTCCCCAAATAGCTTCTCCTTTAGAGTAGAATCCCACTCATTTTCACCACGGGACACCCGGAAGGATGTTAGGGTCCTTTGTTTGGTTTGTGGTGAGTTGACTTTGCACTTTAAAAGGGAAAGAAGGAAACCTGTGGTACCTCAAACAATGAGCCTTTTCAAAGCCTGCATTGGACTCCCATTTCAAAGAATATTCTTATTAACATACTTTCTTATAAATAGAACACTACTCATCAAATATTCATAAGCCGTGGCCCGAGAAGCCAGTGCAGCGCTGGGCCAGCCCAGGACATCTCCTGTGCGCTGTGGGGTGGCGGAGGCCAGGGAGCCGGGGGGCTTGTGGCCTGGTTTGGGGGCTCCGGCATGAGCCTGTCCTGGCCTGGTTCCTCCCGGCGCTGGGCCTGTTCTGGAGCCTGCCGGACTCCCACGCAGCCGGCTCTGTAGGCGACTCCCTTTGAAGTCCACGGGAGCTCTTTGATGCAAGAAAGAGTCAGGCCTGATGTACATGGGGGAATAGTGGTGCTTCTCACCCCAAATATTAGCTCTTTAGCCCAGAAAGTATGGTTTTATTATTAAATAAAAGACCCCCCCAAGAAACCCCACCATCTACCTCCCAAGCTCCACCTTCCATTCGCTGGGGAAGTGATGCGCCTGCTAATTGCCTGGGAGTTTAATTAAGCAGCGGATGCGGACAATGCAGGCTCTGTTTTTACTTTAAACACATCAGTAAAACAAACATTCTCAATTCCAGGGCAACTTGCTAAATAAAAAATAAACATTACTATCCTTTGAAATATCACTCATCGAGTGTGATAATTTTGAAAAATATCTCTATTACAGATAGTTGCAGATATTTTTGGTTGGAAATGCAATCGCCAATTGAGCACAAATCTGCAATTTGTAGACAGGTTAAGTAAATTATATCACTCACTGTCTTTTTTTTTCTTCCAGTGGCTTTAAAAGTTAAAGTAATTTGCAAAGAAAATGCTCAATTTGAATTGGTTTGTAATATCTGTTAATGATCTTTTAAAAACCCCACTTATTCACAACTCTGTCCCTGAGGGAACTCGGTGAGCGATCAGAAAAATGTCTGAAGTCTGAGGTGTCATTAGCTAGTATTTCTTTGAAATAAAAAGCCCTAAAAATAAATTATACAAGGTACACAAGTGCACAGGACAATCACCTTGATGAATGATCTCGGTGTTTTTCTTTCCTAAAAATGCGCCTTTGAAATTCAAGCTGCTAAATGTTTTCGGAATTACCTCAGTGTAGGCATACCTGCTCTGTTTATTTCACACATATATTGAGACCACCCATATATTTCTGGGTTGTTGATGCAAAAACAGTTGTGTGAGGAACAATTTTGACGATATTCATTGTGTTTCCTTCGGAAACGCAAGGCGTTGCCTGAATACAGGCCTACAGGTGTTACCACCCCGAAGTAAAACAAGAGCCCGTTTCTGTGCAGCCCCTGCACCCCCAGGCCAGGTGCCGGGCGGAGGTGCAGACGCTGCGAAGCCCCTCCGATGGGCCAATATTAGGTAGCAGAGCTGTGAAACGCTACACCAAAGCGAGCCTTCCTTCCTGGCCCCAGCCAGCCATGGTCGGGCCTGGAGGCTGGGGAGCCTTTGTAAGACAATATTGGTCCGAGTAACTGAAGATGCCTGTTTGGCTACTGTAAATACTATAAATAGCTTCTTCTTCTTCTTTTTTTTTTTGAGGGAGGAGTTGGATTTTACTAACCCATTGGCTACAGGTTAATTATACTTTTCATAAGACAGCATTTTTTTGTAGCCAGTCTAAATTTATCTTTAATCCTTCTTTATATAATAAGGCGAGGCCCTTCATTGTCATTATTTCACACATTGGGCCTTCAACTTTTGTTTTTTCCTCCTCACACATTACTCACCGCTCAGCTAAACTGCAAAGGGGGCCAGTGACATTCATTTTCACCCCAGGGGAGGGCAGCCTCTTAGCACAGCTGACCTGCCATCCTGTGTGGTTCCTTCTCTCTTCTGCTCTGTAAGCGACGTCCGGGGAGCCAGCTGAGCACAGGAAACAGCCACTGACCGATTTTCATGAAGATCTTCTGTGGTATGTTCTGTGCAAGCCCTCCATTTACTTCACGTCAGAAATAGAAATCAACATTTGAAACTTGTTTTCAAGTGTTACTGGGGCTCCAGGATTTCGAAGAGCAGAAGCTTGGACTTGATGCCTTCCCTGCACATCCTGCAACCACCGGGGCAAGGAGAACTGAGCCAGCACTCCTGTGGCTGGGATGGCCTCCCCTTCCGAGATAACCACTGTCCAGATTTCTGACGCCAGAGCTTTGTTTTGTTTTTGAGCGGCTTATAAATGGAGTCCTAAGGTAGGTGCTCTTTTGTCTGGTTTGAGTCTGTCAACATTATGCTTGTGAGTTGTACCTGTGCTGTTGGGTGTAATGATAGTATGTTTTCCTTCTGCTGTGTCAATAATGTACCACAGCTTACCTATTTCACCCTTGACCGGCATTTGAGTTGTTTTCAGTTCTAGGCTGTTTAGACAGTGTGGTGGTCAACTCCCCCTCACGCCTTTGGAGGGTGTGTGCGTGCAATTCTGTTGGGCTCGTTGACTGCCCGGGAGCCCACTGAGTTGCACTGTGTGACTGTGCTCAGCTGTAATAGTGTCAAATAGCTTTCTAAGGAAGTTGTGTCCATTCCACTCCCACCAGCAGTGGGCAGAAGGCAGGCTGCTCTACATCCTTGTTGACATCTGATGTTCTCAGTCTTTTTTATTTTGGTCTTTTTGGTGGTTTGGAGTTGAATCTCATTATGGGTTTAATTTGACTTCCAGGTTATTAATAAGTTGAGCATCTTTCATGTATATTGGCCATTTGGCTATTTTGTGAATGGGCTTTTCAAGTGTCTTGTTAATTTATCTATTGTATTGTTCATCTTACTGATTTGTAGGAGATATTTACATAATCTGGATATAATCCTTTTTTTAGATATATTTATTGCAAGTATCATATACCAACCTGAGCTTGACTTTTCACTCTTTATGGTATCTTTGGATGAACAGAATATTTTTAATTTTAATGTCATCTAATTTTCCAATTTTTCTTTATAGGTACTGCTTTCTATGTACTTTTTAAGAGAAATTTGCGGCCATGGAAATATCCTCTTACATTATTTTCAGGAAGCTTTATGGTTTCTTCTCTTCCATTTACATCTATAGATTACTTATTGCAGTGGTTCTCAACCTTCCTAATGCCGTGACCCTTTAATACAGTTCCTCATGTTGTGGTGACCCTCAACCATAAAATTATTTTCATTGCTACTTCATAACTGTAATTTTGCTACTGTTATGAATCATAATGTAAATATCTGATATGCAGGATGTATTTTCAGGGGTTGCAACCCACAGGTTGAGAACCACTGATAGGTTACATTTTATTTACTTATAGATTATATCTATAATCCAGTGACATTGATTTTGTATATGATGTGAGGTTGGGATCAAGTTTTTTCCCCCAAGATACCTACTTACCTTATACCATTAATGGAAAAGATTTCCTTTCCCCAGTGTTCTGAAGTGAGACTTTTGTCATAAATTAAGTACTCACTTATTTGTAGAATGATCATATGACTTTTCTCCCTTATTCTGTTAGTGTGGTGAATTATTCAACAGGCTTTTGAATGCTAAACCAATCTTTTTTTTTAATACATATTTTTATTGATTTCAGAGAGGAAGAGAGAGGGAGAGAGAGTCAGAAACATCAATAATGAGAAAGAATCATTGATCAGCTTCTTCCTGCAAGCCCCCCACTGGGGATTGAGCCCACAACCCAGGCATGTGCCCTTGACCGGAATCAAACCTGGGAGCCTTCAGGCCTCAGGCCGAGGCTCTATCTACTGAGCCAAACCAGCTAGGGCGTTAACCCAATCTTGAATTTCTGGACTAAACCCAACTTGGGTGTGATGTATTATTTACTGAATGTATTACTGAATGTTTTGATAATATTTACAACACACGTATGAATGAAATTTACCTGTAATTTCCCTTTAGTGTAATGACCCTGTCAGGTGTATTATGAACTTTTAGCTGGCTCATAAAATCAGTAGAGACGTATCCTCTTTATATTCTTTAAAAGCAAAAATATAAATGAGTCTAATGTAAATATGGTAATTAAAAAATATATAGCTTTTCTTAAGTATATTAGTCAGGGTTCTCCAGAGAAACAGAGCCAATAGGATAGATATAGGTATGAGGAGATTTATTGCAGGAGTTGGTTAGCACAATTACAGAGGCGGGGAGTCCCATGATATGCTGTCTGCAGGCTGGAGAACCAGGGACACTGGTGGTATAACTGAGTGCAAGTCTGAAGGCCTGAGGATAGCGGGCTGGGGGGCGGGGGTGGGGTGATCAGGCTGTGCGGTGGGGGAGATAGAATCAGTCCTGGTTGGATTCTGAGGGCCCAAGAACCAGAAGATTTGATGTTCAAGGGCAGGAGAAAATGAATATCCCGCTTAAGCAAAGAGAGAAAATGCACACTTTCTCAGCCTTTCTGATCTGTCCAGGCCTTCACTGGATGTCATGATGCCCAACACATTGGGGAGGCCACCTTCACTCAGTCCACCAGCTTAACTGCCAGTCTCCTCCAGAGCACCCTCCCAGACACACCAGGAATAACGCTTAACAGCTACCTGGGCATCGCCGAACCCAGTCAAGTTGACAGAAAATTAACCCTCACAGTCAGTATTCACCATATTTCTTTCGTTCCAGGCTTCTGTTTATTTTGACTTAGACTTACAGCAGGAAACTGTTTCTGTGTGAGTTTTGCAGAGGAAAGTCAGTACAAGTTGCACTCTATTCTAGGAGTTTTCACATAGCATGCAGCAGTCTGCTCGTGGGCCCAGCTGAGATTTCTGCTGCATCTCAATCCCGGAACCCATGAGCAAGGCCCAACTGGGTTTAAGGAGAACCTAGAAGAGGGGGAGCTTTGTGGACATATGACAAGCATTCAGTTGAAACACTTCCTCCCTACTGAGAATCTTCAAAGCCAATTTCATTTCCAACTTTTGACCACTTCATTCACTGTTCCATAGAGGTTCTCCTTCAACACTGTAATCTCATACCTCACCCCATCTCTCCATTCCTACTTCACCTCTCGCCTGGGCTGTGGCATGTGTGGGACACCGAGTCTCCATTTCTTCCTCTTGTCAGCATTCCAAGCACTGAAAATGGAAAATTGCCCATTAGTCCCTGTGCAAAACTAGTGGTTCTGCATTGCTTTACAAGATGCAGCCAAGGCTCATGGATGTGGTGCCCAAGTTCTTGGCCATCTGTCTTCTGCTTCCCACTCCAGCCTGTTCTCTGCCCCGCTCCAACCTTCAGCTTCATCACCCAGCAGCTCCATCTGCTCGCAGTTCCCGTATCACCTGGGATTGTTGGTGTCCCAGCTTTTGCGTATGCTGCTCTTTCTTCCTGGAACAGACTGCCCATGTCTTTCTCCTGGATAATCCATTCTTTAACGATCAGCTCAGGCCAGATCCCTGGGCTGTGGTCTTCTTTCTGCCCGTCTCTGTCTCTGTGATCAGACTGTGAACTCCTTGCAGGGAAGGTCTAGGTTGTAGTCATCCAGGAGTGTCCATAACTTGCTGTGTGCTGGTGGACAACAGGTGCTTGCTAAAAGACACAAATTCAAACAGAAGGAACAACGTCGACTAGTTGACTAGTTTGAATTTCACTCCATCTCTTTTTGAAAGCTTGAGATGACATAAAATGGCCACAATGTCACGCATGACCAGAGCGAGGCAGGAAGGCAACGGCTATGGACAGTCGGCAGGTACAATCTCTTCCTATGTGACTAAACCCAGTTCAGGTGATCAAAAGTCTCTATGGTGGAATCTGCTTTTTGTAGAATAGATGAGTAACAAAGCTTTTCTATAAAGATGGATTCTTCCAGAGAAATACATCTGAACAATTTACTCTAAAATTTAAATGAAAAATAATCATATTTAAAGGGTGAATTGACTAATATCCTTCTTTTCTGTGATTAATAAAAGAGTTTACACAGAAGCTCTGTAAGAAATCGTGTGAGAGATCCAGGAGGATCATTAAAGTCTCTACTAGACATTCACTTTCACATTGTAAAATTGGCTATACTGTCAGAATGATATCACATAAAAATGAAGTTTCTGG